GGTTTGACCGTGTTGCTGAAAAAAGAGTTAAAAATATATATTGGTGGTAGATCCTTAAAGATGGGCTGCCATGTTTTTGTGAATTGGATGAGGTTATTTCTATTCTACAGAGGAAAAGGGAATGTCAGCTAAGAACGGAAGAAAAGAAGGTAAGGAGGAAGAAAGAGCAACAGCAAGAGAGAAGACAGAAAAGAAAAAAGAAAGAGTAGGAGACAGACAGATGTAGAAAAAAGGACAAAAAGAGAAAGACCAAAGCCACAGCCATCATGTTGTACCAAAAACCTGTCTTCTTAGGATAGCATGTTGAGCTTAAGAGCAAAAGATGAAGACAGGAAAACAGCAATGACAAATATGAATGTAAAAACCGAAAAAATCAGTACACAGCCACCAACCTGTGCAGGGAATCTGTCTTCTCAGGGCAGCGGGTGGAGGCCAGGAGAAGATAGCGTAGGATGCTGATAAGACGCAAGCAGTGGCTGTCCTCCTCCTCGTCTGGGCTGTTTTTGTCGATGTGAAGTACCAGGTTGTACAGGACTTTGAGAACCTCATTAACCAGCTCTGCCTGCTCATCCTGTAAGAAAGGTTTGGAAAAAAAAAACATTACTTCATTTTCTTTTTATCTTTTCTTATTTGTCTTGTATTTCTTCATCAACTTATTTTCATTTCTTTGTTCTTTACTATCTTGTGACCTCAAGACAGATATGAGACAAGAAAAACTGCAAAGAAGGAAACTGCAATATTAAAAATTAGCTAGTGGCCAGTAAAGTGGATTGTTGACACGCATTAACAATTTCCTCCATTTGCACATGGCTCTTTCAGTACTTCAAGCACAACACTTGGCACCTCGTGCTTGTAGCTGTATTTCATAAACAAAATTTTTAAAAATAAATGATTTCACTTCAAAAATGTGTGTATCTAATAGAGATGAAAAGCAAGTGAAATTGAGTGGATGGATGGATGGATGGATGGATGGATGGATGGATGGATGGATGGATGGATGGATGGATGGATGGATGATGGATGGATGGATGGGATGATGGATAGATATGGATGGATGGATGGATGGATGGATGGATGGATAGATAGCTAGATAGATGGATGATGGATGGATGGATGGATGGATGGATGGATGGATGGATGGATGGGATGGATGGATGGATGGATGGATGGATGGATGGATGGATGGATGGATGGATGATGGATGGATGGATGGATGGATCTTCCCAAAGAAACAAACAAAAACACTTACATTGAAGATAATGGGATTGGGGAGTAGCCGTTAATGGATTGCACCTTCCTCCTGGGCCGTTTTAAGTGACAGGTCTAGGATCTCGATCAGGTAAGTCAGCCCATGGTACTCTGACCTCAGCCGTGGTCTGTGCGGATAGCAAAGAAAGTCAGGGTTACAGAAAGTATGTAGAAAAAAATGGGGGAAGAAATAAACATGATAATAAAAAAAAAAATCAAAATAAAAGAAAAAGAGACCAATACAACAGAGAAAATAAAAGGATGAAATAAGAAGTAATACAGGAAAAATATAAATACAAATAATCAAAACAATTTTTTCTCTTGATATCATAACGAGTTTCTTCATCACATCAATGAAATCTCTTCAATTGGACACATTTTTTCCCGCTTTATATCCACCCCCAAGCATTAGTTAAAACTTTTTCCCTTGATATCCCGCCATCCTTTTTCTCTCAAAACTCAAAAAAAAAAAATTTTTCTTAAAATTCTTTTCCCATGCAGCCCCTCAAAAACGGCACGAGACCCCAAAAGGGCAGAAGTCAACGCTCACCTAATATCTCCACAGAAAGCCGTCAGCAGGAAGAGCAGCCTCATATCAAAGTACTTGACAAGATGCGGCAGATCTGGGTCTTTGAAGGTCTTCAGGCGACACATGAGGCCCGGGATGCAGCTGTTGACACAGCACATGCGCTGGATCGCCGAGCTGTTGTATAGCAGATTGCTCAGACATTTCTGGGCCTCTGTCACCACTGGGGAACAGACATATTGTGTTATCTTTTGTTTACTCTTACTAATTACACACACACACACACACACACACACACACACACACACACACACACACACACACACACACACACACACACACACACACACACACACACACACACACACAAAATTATCAGTGTTTGAGACTTAGAAGAAAAAATGATGCGATGATGATGAGAAACAGGCCCTTATTCTTTTGATATAAATATACACAACAGGTATATCCATAAAGCTTCATTATGTGTTGCTTAATCTTCAATAATGTACACCAGTGTTTTTTATTATCAACCTACATCTAACAAGTACTACCCTTTTAACCAACAACTGATAGGTAACTGATTTTTTATCAATAACTTTACTTGGTCTACCTCAACGGAAGATACCTACCATCATAATTAATTTGTTGATTAAGCCGTTGCAGGGGCTCTTCTCAGGACAACCAGACGCACGATGACTGCAAGCCTGTCGCTGTCAATCACGTTGT